ATAAAAACTATATTAAAAAATCGGCTTGACAAATATTTCTTATTTTTTCATTTTATGTTATGTGAAATATTATTAAAATTGTTGACGATAAAATATAATGTTTTTAGATTTAGTTTAATAGTATCTTAAAGGTTTGGAGACTTAACATTTCTCGATTCACATAATATTATTACCATTACTTTAATATCAGATATAATACTCAGTAAATCCTGGGAATGGGGCTAAACTTAAAATAACGTCTCACTAATCACTATGAACATACACAGTAGCTGTAGCGGGTTATACCGATAGTATTTTTCTGAATGCGATTATGCTTTATAATCTTTATAATATGTGTAACATCATTAAATACGTTTTTAACTTGAAGCGATAACATTATACAACGCTAAAAATGGGTTATGTCAAGTGCAGCGCCCCACGTCGTGTCCTGCTCTTATATTATAATATTATATTATTATTTAATTTTATGTTCTCGTTTAAATGCATTCATTAATGCCGCCATTGTGGCTGGCTACTTCTTTTACGTTTTATACGGGAGACATAGAATTTGTTATAATACAATTTCTGCTGCGTCAAAGTTCTTATAACTTTTATAAAAATAAAACCCCCATTATATTTTCTCTTCCACTCCGCGTAAATCATCGTGTGTGTACTTATATATGTTATATTTTATATAATACAGCGTTGTTTAGTGCGTTTTTTCTTCGCAGAAAAGGTCTACGACATAATTTACGACTCATTTCCTTTATATTTAATCGACACCGGGATGGCGTGTGCCCAGTTGTTCTGGCACAAGGTTTTCCCGTGCCCGCCACTCCACCGTTTTCCCTTTTAGCCTTTACCGCAAGAGCTTGTGGTAAACCGTAAGATTTTTATTATAAACGAGTGGTTTTTTTTTCTTTTTTGGAGGACACCATGGCTCCGGACTCCTGTGAGCTTATCGATTTTTTTTTTAATTATATTTTACCGCAAAATAGCAGATAGGGGATCGAAAAATCGCCGGGCACGCAATATGGGCAATGCGACCAACCCCTGTACAAATAACGTTAAATCAAAAAGCACGAAGTGCTAATACACCGGACAACCTATTTCAGGGTAATTTCATGTTTTCCAACTTTTAATATTCAATGACTAGCGAATTAACATAAACAAGTGCTAATTCTTTTGTAATGCATTTATTTTCTGAAAAAACCAACTCCACATGTATAATACTATCATATTGTATTCGTTGACTTTTTTAATTATATGGGTTACCTACATTTTCTATACATACATTTTTAAATTATAATAAACTGGAATTATCTAATAGTACACTAAAAGTTAAATTATATTGGATTGGGACTTATCTATAATCAATCAAATTGTTGAGCAAAATGAATTTTGAACATAGTCACAGCTAATTGTGGTTTTCAAATAAGCACCCTCGTTTTGTCATGGAATTATTTCTATATCACTATTACAAATCTTAATTTATTGGATAACGGATTCTTTAAATTGAAATATGTGCTTAATATTAGTTTATGCTCTTTGTTAAGATTTATATGACACTTACATAATTTTAGCTACCCTCTTACTTTTTCACCCAATTTGTGTGCTTATAGAGGTAAATACATTTTTTTAAAAACAGACAATTCTTTTGATGCGAATTGATTTTTATCTTCTATTTTGTGGTTACAAACATTAAATTAAATATACTTTGGTTGAAATTCAATCGTAGACTTGTCAATATTTAATTGAAAACACTTTTAGTTTAAAGCTTCGAATCATATGTGTATCAGCATTTACAAGTATTTTATTGTTATCAAATGGTAATAAGTAATGAAATATATATGTATATATAATATATATATATACATTTATAGGTATTATTAAGATTTAAATCAACTTTATCACAAAATGTTTTCTTTTTGAACTGTTTAAAGTGATGTTAGTATGTTAGTATTAGTAACTAGTAGTACTATAGTAGCAAAGTAGGTCTGATGTACTGTAACAATATTACTTGCAAAAGAAAACTGTACGCAAAAACAAATGTAAATGTTTTTACGTTTACGATTTACCTAAGCTTTGTAACTAAATTTAATTTCTTTGTACTTACGTCATACATTTTATGCTCCTACATTATTGAAGAACAAATTCAATTTTCTTGTCTCCACGTAACTTTTGCCGCTCTCATTGCTTTCTCATTCAATTAGCCCTATAATACATTATTTCAAAAATAATCCAATGTCCAATGCTGAGAATCAAGAGTACTCATTTCGTCATCATTTCTTATTTGATTCATATAATATTATGTTCTATTGTTCAAAATATGTTATATGCATTGTTGGTTAAATAATTTAAATTGTTATGTTGATACCTATAGTTATTTTAATTTTAATCATTATTGTTCATATTTTGGTTCAATTAAACTTCAGACTTCAGTCCATTCAATACATATTTTGATTTGGGCATTTGGATCTGGCCCGTATCGTTTAATAAATAAATAATAAATGCATTGTTCTTAGTAAATGTATTTGGTACCTAGGTAATATCTTTGACTTCTTCATTTCCGACTTCTATAAGAGTTTTTTTTTCGATAGCCATGAGCATAAATGCTTGAAGATGATCTTGACTTAATGAATTACGAATTCTAGATTTTATTATTTTTAACTTAGAAAAGCTTCTTTCACAAGCTACTTGTGTCACCGAAAGTGTTAACAAAAACTTGTATGCAGTATAAAGTGATTTGTATGTATTTGTATGCATATTATACTTAGAAATAACTATATAACAACAGACTGGATAGTTTTTACAAAACTGATTAGAATTTGTACATTTTTCCTCATGTGTACCTTGTAAAATAAGTTGGTTCTTTATAGATTCTGAGTCGGATTCATAAGAACTTTCATCAGAATAATCTCTACATTTTTGTCATAACTCTCAGGCACGGTATATTTTATAGATGGCCACTTTTCTTTAAAATCAAACAATTCATGTCGCAAGTTTTCTGGAGTAGCAGTTTTGTCAAAGAAAATGATTAAATCACTTAAACGTGTAAATGCTTTTTTAGACATAGTATCATTTATATCTTTAAAATTGGTTGGATCTAAAAGAGATAAATCTGAGTATAATGAGCCATGTTTTGTAAATCGTTCATTAAGTTTATTGATAATTGTGTCCAAAACTATATTGTGTACAGTTATTTTGTATTTTTCAAGTGGATTTATTGTAAGTTGGTCTCTTGATACCTCACCTGCCATTTTTTTTTTAATTTTACGACGAACTGAACTTTCATCTGGGAACTGTGATTCAAGAATTTCGTCACAATCTACTTCTTCCAACTCTTTTTCTGCCCATACTATAAATGAATCAGTAGCTTCTTTTACTCTTTGAAAATCTCTAGATATTTCTTGTAAGTATGTTATAGTAGGTACTAGAAACCATCCTATATGCTTGAACTAAGTCCATTCCACTTGTTTGCAAATACTTGGACAATGATGAAATACGCTCAAATATTCGTAAGTACCTATAATTGTGATGTCATGACAAAACTATATTTTAAAAAAGAGTCCTTTAATGTAATAGCTTTATATCGTGTTTCTCGATTAAACTTATCAGAATTTGAATTAGAATTATTCTATAATTTTAAACTAATATTATTATTTCTTTGTCTACTTATACAATTTTTACGTTTATTCAGTTTTAATTTTATCGGCCCAAAATAGATTAAGCAGCCCAAAATTTTACCGGCCCAAGCAGGGATAGCCCACTCGCCGCCTTAGCCAGTCCGCCCCTGCTAGGTATTAATATTTTTTTTTTTTAAATGGCAACGTCAAAGTCATGCAGGGTTTAATTTTTCAGACAATAAGGAGGACTCAATATATTTCGTCGAGTATTAAGTACAGTAAAAAATAATCAAGTTTGTAAAAATAGGTTAGAAAAATAATAAGCATACCCACTGAGAACAACTAACAGCGATGTTCCCATCAGCAACACGCTTGGCAAGTCCCAATAACAAAAATATTAATATACCCGAGTGTGAGGTAGGTTGTAGGTAGGTATATAAAGTTTTATCGCGAGGCATTTGTTTACCAAATAGTAATTATTATTATCAACGTGCACAACAGTTATATGTATAATATATAATACAATATAATATTCGTATATGTTTGTGTCGTAAAACCTTCCACCTACCCTGCACCTCCGCACACAATGTTAATCAATCTTTCTCGCAATGATTTACGTGTAATAACAACTCGTACGCCATATTATCATAAAATATGATATTATTATTCTCATATATATTACCATAAAACAGTTTATAGTATATTACAATAATAAACATGGCTTGCTTGCGGGTCAGTTGGCAAACCAGCCGTCTCTCGTGTCCCATGCACTGGCCAAGTTCTAAATATATAATCAAACCATAGATGTTTGTCACATTAGGGCTGGCTAGCACATGGCGTATTTTCTAAAGAATAATGAAAACCTTGAAACGTTCAAAATATTATAATGATGGTCCCGCCGAATCAATGATACGACGACAACTTACTGACAAGTATCGCGATGACATATCGACGATTCCGTTGTATATAATTATGATCGGCCGTTAGTATAAACTATAAAAATCAGATTTTACTAGACTTACTTCCTGGACATCTGGTTTTCCTGGTGGTTCGATGCCCTAAAAAGTAATCCACTATTACGAAATGTACCAACATATTATTATAGATCATAATTTCATCTATACCTACTTGTACTATCAAACATAAAAAAAATTACCTATTTTATTAAATTGTATTTTATTTCAAATATTAGGTATCATTACCTTAATGTACGATAGGTATCTAGAATCTAGATTTACATTATACTTATTTAAATTTAATTTTCTTTTTCTAGAATCAGAGCAAGAAACAGTTTAGTTGACAGTTTTCATTTTTTTTTTTTAATACGCTTATGGGTTCTTTTATAAAGGTTTAAATATTATGGTTTTTGCAAATTATTTAAACCATTTATTAACCATGAATAGGTTCAATCACTTTAATCACCTCTATTTTAGTATAGGTACTATAAATTATGATAAAAATCGATGACAATTTAAAATTGTGACTTTGAAAAACAGCTCAATAAACAGCATACATTTAAACCAAAAATTATAATGCATAATATTATTATCGTATTATATGCGTGCATAATAATAATTAAAGGACTGTAGGTCATCGAGATCAAAATAAATACGCATCTACATTATAGTATAATACATGTGTTGTGATGTTATATTATAGAACGTTCAAATTATTGTTATAGAAGTGGGGAACGAAATTCGGTTATTTCATTATAATACATATATTATTATCTGCTATATAATATAATACAATATAGCAAATCGTCGATAGCTGATGCTGAAATGTATTCTATATGCATTGTTCTTCCGATAGAATTGTACCAACCCGTTTTATCGTTTGTATCATAATCGATCGTCAATCCATTAAATGTACTCATATGTATTTTATCTATTAATTGAATTTAGGTTTCTAACAAATAAATACTGAGAAAAACTCATGTGTGAAGCTAAGGTGGTAATAATATTGTATAATTGTTACATGATTATAAGTTATAACTAATTAAAAAATACATATTGTATATACGTACATTGTAAATTATACCTAATAATAATTACTTACAAACTGAAAATAATACATAAGAACCAATATCATAAAAATACTAATAATATATTAATACAATTGTGATCGTAATCGATACGTACATCATATTTGTATCAAATTCATATTTTAAGAACTACTCCAAACGTCTAAACTATAGTAAAATAAATAATAATAATATTCTATAATACTATAACCATTACCTATTTTGTTTTTAGGCGTACCGTTTCCTCCGGGCCGAAAGTTGACCACTGCCGAAATATGGGACTCGAGGACAAACAAACCTCGACCAGACATATTGAAACAGCATTTCATACTCGAGGGTCGGATAGACGAAGCGGCCGCGTTGCGCATCGTCAACGAAGGTGCATCGCTACTCAGATCCGAAAAAACCATGATAGACATCGAAGCTCCTGTTACAGGTGGGTACAATATAATATGTATTATTGTAAGACGTCCTGGTAGATTAAATGTAACGTTTTGGACGTTAATATTAAGTATTAAGTGTCTGTAGACGGACTGCATATTTTCAGCGATATAGTCATCTGTTAATTTTTATCAACACGGAAAAGTTGATTGGAATAATAGAATGTGATCTGTATTATAAAATAATATCATCCTGTATGTATTATAAATGTGTAATATAGAATATAAAGGAAAAAAATCTCATCGCAGATTTCCTGTTTGTACAGAACAGAGTTGTACCTAATTTTTATTATAATTATTATATTTATTTCGTAATGAAATATTAACATGAATTATTATATCTCAACTATGATGATAAGATCAACATTTAAAGACACCAAAAGATAAAAATAGAAGAAACGTATAAAGTTCATAACATTTTTAATTTTGAAGCCAATATGAGCAAGAAGAAAGCAAAGAATTAAGAATAATAAAAAAAGGAGAACAGCTTTTAATATGATCACATTGTTGGAAGGAAGAGAGAGCAGCGTTAAGAAAAACAGATATCGAGAGAGGAAAAAAGGTTTTTTTAATTTACTCTAACGAGGGAGAGAGCAGAGCAATTGATTAGAAAATTACGAAATTGTAACTATTATTTTTTTAGTTTTTATTGTTTAAATAATATTCTAATTGTTTAGTATATGCCATGTACCTATAGAGGCTGAACATTTTATTGTATTAAAAAAAAATGATTCTGACAGGAACACGTTTTCAACGAAGACAGTAAAAAGGTGAGTTAAAACCTGTGCATTTGACTGACATGCAGTATTTCTGTATGTTTTTTTGCCGTTCGTGGCTGTCTCGGAAATCACCAGAAAAATTGCATGATAATCTTAAAGACAGTCTGTGTAGTGTATAGTCTGTAAATTCGTGTTCGTCACGATGCATCGACATTATGAGTTTCTTAAATACCTGCCCAAATCAAAAAAAAAAAACACATCATTATTTTCTTCTAACCTATAACTATGACCCTTGCAGTAGGTTCACGTTAAAACGAATAGCTTTTGAAATTATTAAAATATATTATTCGCTGCAGTGTGGCCCAGTATATATAAGTACCTTCATATTTTATTCCTGCAAGGTTATCCTGCAACCGGGATATGTCTTATTCGTGTATTATAAGTTAGTAAATCGTGTTATATAAATCTCGAAGAATGTACATTCGTATATATATAATATTGAAGTAGGTCGTTTGTTATAGTCGCGCGACTGCTATGCACACGCACATGTGTCAAAGACTGCTGCAAATCCCGAGAATAATGCTATTCTTTTTGACAATGCATATAATAATATCTTAAATGTACGAGTTGGTGTTCTAAGCACGTTTCATTTTGTGTTTAACTATTGCTCAACGGATACGATATTGGCTCTAACGACGTTTAATACGCGTCACACATTAAATTTCCAAAGTCCTCTTTGGTATTGTTTGCGAATTTTTTCGCTAATTTTAGTGATTTTTTTTGAAATCCCGCGACGTTTAAACCTAACATAAGTAACGTACAAAAATATATAGTAAAGTCGAAACTCGAAATGTTAGTTTCGAAAACATCATCTAGATTCTAGAATAATACATAATTTATAAGTACCTACTATATAGTAAACCTAATGCCTATACCTACATGGACTACATATATCATATTCTTCCTTATTTT